ATTATTTATATTAAATAAAATAAAAATAAAATAAGCAGGGCCTTACACAACTGAAGTTATATTTCCTGGATCCGTGCTCTCTGAATGAAATTAATTTCTATGATAAATGATCTATCTGATAACTGTGTTGTATATGCCAGTTGTAAGCAATGCAAAGTATTCTAACAGTGGCTATTGCTTGATGAAGTAAAAATGAATTTGCAGAATAAATTACAACTATCAGAGAATAATCAATTGTGGTTGATACTTCCAGGCTCACTTCAGGTAATCTTTGAATGCAGTTAAACTTGTGGTAGTTAGGAGTAACTTATATTTACTTGTGAGAACAAAATAGGAGTTGTGTTAAATCAAGCTGAAGCAATGGAACAAGCCAAGCCCAAACTTTTAACTTCAAGCTTGAAGTTAAAATAGAGCAGAACTGCGGTGGCTGTTAGGTGGAACATAAATTTTCAGTTAATGATATATAAATACAGAACAGCAAAAGCAACAGTTGGACTATTTATCCACAATAATGACTATAGTTCTGAAAAGCTATGACATAGTATTTGGAAAATTCATAGTGGCCATTCCAGAGGTGTGAAGTATATACTTCATCTTCTGGAAAGGTGAGAGTTTGAAGATGCAAGATGACTGACTGACTAGAAAGAGTCTGAACAGTTGCAGGTTTGTTTTTTTTTTTCCCCTTAAAAAATAAGTTTGGAACAGCACTACGAAGATGATAAAGTAATTAGAAATAGAAAAACAGAATCATAGAATAATCTAGGTAAAAAAGACCTCTAGAATTCATATGGCCCCATGTGAAGCTAACTAGATCAGGCTGCTTAGAAGCTCGTCCATTCAAGATCTGAGCATCTCCAAGGATGGGGATGTGGAGGTCTCACAACCTCTCTGGGTCTTGTCTGACCACCCATATGGTGAAAAGTTTTTCCTGACATCTAGTGTGAATTTTGCATGTTTCAGCTTGTGTCTCTTCCCAGTTGTCCTATCACTGTGCATCACCAAGGAGTGTCAGGCTTCTCTGTATTGCCTCCCATTAGGTAGAAGACAGCAATAAGACCTCTCCTTAGTCTTGTCGTTTTTAGACTGCACAAAGTTAGTTCTCTTACCGTCTCCTCAACATAAACCCAGCTCTGCAGCCCTTATTCAAATGAAGTCTTGCAAAGGAGGCCTAGGTGACCACAGTCATCTTTCTGATTTGGTTTAAATTAACTTCCAAATAGGTCAGAGCTGAGATAGGAAGAGTAGCTAATAGAGCTAGGGAATGTGTCATGTCAGTCTTTTGGGTACATCCACATTCTACCCTAATATTTTAATTCAGAGTAGGAGTGCATTTCTGAAGTAAATTTGTGCTCACCCTCATTTAATCATGCTTTCCCTTTTCTCATGCAGTCTCTAAGGAAGAGAAACAAAATTCTCAGCGATGAAATTCATCTTTCAGATGAACTTAATTAAAAAGCTGCTCTCCAGTAGTCCACTTAATCCACTCCGGGAGCTAAGGGACCAGACTAGACCTACTCCAGAATACTTAACCTTCTACATCATCTCCCAGTTTCTTTGCCCTACTTGCTAATGTAGGTCCAGCTTTTGAGACACAATGCCCTCTTACATGCCCTGTTCATGGAGGAAAAAGTGCAGAAGGAAGGTCATTAAATCATTCCTGATTACCCTCCAAGTATCTCCTCCTGTGGAAACTGGATGAAAGACTACACACAGTATTTTTAAATACTTACTCCTCTTTGTCCACCTTTTCTCTAAGCTTTTTCAACCTTTTCTTCTGGGTAAGTACTAAATTTTGAATAATGTTTTCAAAGTATTCTTCTTCTTTGTAATTCAACTAAAAAGAAAGAGGGAAAAGTACTTAGTGGCAGTGTTACTGATCTGCAGTAAAAGACAGATGGATCTGGAAAATCTAGTCTTAAGCATAATGAGCCAAGCAATGCATTTTTAAGAGTATTACTCGATCTACAATTAGAACTTTGTTTGCAGTGCTCTGCTACATCACAGAGTTGATATTGTAGCCAGATATATGTTAGCAGCTCTATAATTTTTTCCAGGGATCTTTATTCCCTCTCTCTATATATTTTGAGTGGACTTCAGCATTTGTTGGTTTTGACCCTAACCTCTGGGAGTTGCCTGCTTGAAACCAGTAGCTTGGTAAGCGGCAATTCCACCTTAGAAAGAAGACATGAATAAGGCTCAAATGGTGTTTTAAAAAGCATACTTTGGTTGTATGTCTGTATTTTTCAAAATTAAAACTTTGACTTCAAGACATATTCTGCCTGAACATACATGTATACTAAATACATTAATAGAGTTACTCTTACAAATGAACCTACAAGGTAAAGGAATACCAAGATCACATTTTTGTGGTGAGATAGCTCAGATGCAGTTTAAATTACACAGGTCATCCAACGTCATACTTCAGGGACTAATTCCAATCCATTGATAAATAGGGACAGTTACTAAGTTATGTGTAACTGTGTCTACTTCAACCAGTGTTACGTCAGTCCGTGGCAGATTTAGAAATACTGGACTGAGTACCATTGGCTCCATGTTTTGTTCTAGCACAGTTCCTCTAGAATTTATACATTCCCTTGAAATACCATCAAATACTTATCATCATCTGTACTGGATTAGCTGTACTACACTGGCTTTTGGTACATCCTTATTTACACCTGCACAACTGAACATGAGTTACTCTGTGCAGATGCGTATGGTTTGGCTTGGCTATGAAGGGAAATTCACCACTTTTTCCCTCAAGACCCTTTTCTAATTATACCGTCTATTGTGGATACTTACCTCCTGGTACTCGCTGTTCAGCTTATTGTCGTCAGTCACAATCTCATCTGGATAACCAATCCTCTCTCTAATTGCTCTTGCCTAGGCACAAGATAATTTGATCTCCATAGCAAATCCAGGCATATTTAAAAATCAATCATAAATTATATAATAAATGCAATATGGAAGCAACTGCAGAAAACACAGGATGTTAATTATATATGGGTTTTGTTTACATTTTGTTATTAATTGAAAGCACTGTAAAGTTTATAGTTAATTATAACAATGGAAAATTCTTGAAAGTCTGTTCTGTTCCTTCCTTGCTAAGTAAAATTACAGAAATGTGCACAAGACAGCCAAACATACTTCAGCTATGCTTTTGAGTTGAAAGGTTGGTTTAAACAAATAGAAGCAATCCTGAAATATTTCACATATGTTACAGCATCTAAAATAGAAATAAAATTAATAACTGATGTTTTTTAACTTCAGTACATTATAGGAAAACACATTTACAGATTTTCAGAAATCTATATAGTTTGACTCAGTTTGTGTCTGTATCCATATTTCTTAACTAGCTCCCACATCTACACTGGAGTGAAACAATTTATTTAAAAGTTCACAAATTTTGATGATTTGAAGTCTTGAACAAAGCACCTCGAATCCTGTGTTCAGTGTTGGGCCCTTCACTACAAGAAGGACGCTGAGGTGCTGGAGTGTGTCCAGAGAAGGGCAGCGGAGCTGGTGAGGGGTCTGGAGCACAAGTCTGATGGGGAGCGGCTGAGGGAACTGGGGTTGTTCAGGCTGGAGAAGAGGAGGCTGAGGGGAGCCCTCATCGCTCTCTACAACTACCTGAAAGGGGGTTGTGGTGAGGTGGGTGCGGGTCTCTCCTCCCAAGTAGCCAGTGATAGAACGAGAGGAAATGGCCTTAAGTTGTGCCAGGGGAGTTTTAGGTTTGGTATTAGGAAAAATTTCTTCACCGAAAGGGTTGTCAAGCATTGGAACAGGCTGCCTGGGGAACTGGTTGAGTCACCATCCCTGAGGGTACTTAAAAGTTGTATAGATGTGGTGCTGAGGGACATGGTTTAGTGGTGGGCTTGGCAATGCTAGGTTAACAGTTGGACTCTATGATTTTAAAGGTCTTTTCCAACCTAAACAATTCTATGATTCTAGTCTATGATTCTATAAACCAGTAATATTTTGATAGTTATTTTAAATGTTTTTTCCAAAGATTTTCTAACACAAAATTCTGGAGGAAAATGCCAAGTGCTGCTCTATAATTAAGAAACCCATTATATTTTCCAAGCTTTTTAAAATTTAAATTTTAATAATTATAATCAATTTTTATCTCTACAGTATAACAAAATAGATGTAATAAGTAGTTCTTTTGATTGTTTCATTCCCAATTCAGGGCTCTCTATAACGGATTTCTGTTACTTACTCCAGACAAGAGCTGCCTGTAGCTACATCTTCCCTTAAAAGAGAACTCACTGATGGTATTCAGCCTATGGTGTGACTTCTTGGTCACTCATAATAGCTGGTTAAATCACCATAAATCATTCCTTCTCATTTTCAGTATTACTTTCTTTTAGCTATTCATTACCTAGCCCCTTAATTGCTGATTTGCCTGGAATGTCTTATTCTTATATATAGATTTTGTGCTCTTATCTCCACAGAGGCCCCTTCCCATGTACTATGGATGTGATATAGGAAGTCTGTAAGCTGCTGTGCCTATACAAACACAAATCTACGTGGTTTTGTATATATAAAATACTGATAGATGTTACTGCCTTTTTTTTCCCCAGGAAAAACAATTGAAATAGTGATTATTATAGAAATACACAACATTACCAATATTTAACTTACTTTTTGTTCTGCTTTCTTTTTGGTTTCTGCATCCATCCAGGTAAGTTCATCTAAGGTTTTTATAAAAACATCACGTATATCTGCAATCATTTCCTCAACCTTGGAAGAAACATCGGTATGTTACAAATCCACATAAAATGATCCAATTGTTTCTCCACAGTCATAGTTTGTTTATTAGAGACTTGTTTTTTCTGCACTAGCTGCTAAAACTGCTAAAATCTGGAGCTCAAGTTAAGTTGTACTTTCAACCTGTCCTGTGGGAGGAAAGGGAATGGGCATGAGCTCACAAAGCAAGGCCACTTAGGTTACAAAAAATGTCAGCTATCCATCTGCTGGATGTTGTGCATCTGATCAAATTATTTGGTATATGTCAGCCACCAAAAATGATAAATCTTAAGCCTGGATTACAGTAGGAGGAAACTAAGGCCTAGCTCCAGGTTAATTTTCAGCAATTTTCTATGTGACTGAAGACAAACAGAAATAACTGATTGTCCCTGAGCCCCATGTTGGCAGGGTGTGAACCAGCATCAGTCTCAAAGAACAAGCAGTGACTGTTCATTTCAGTAAGTGTTGTTCCTTGAGTGTGCGTATTGGCTTGCGCACGGTCCATCGCCGACGCGCCAGTGGTGCTTTAGGCTCAAGGCTGGCTCACAGAACAAGTGTAGTGGGCAGATGCCTCTCTCCCTCCAAGTGCGCACACGTAATATTCCTATTTCACACGTTAATTCACACTGCGGTGGTTTGCTTGGAAAGCAGGCCAGCTCAAGACAAGTAACGCAGCAGTACTTAGGCGCAAAGGAATG